GATAGGCCCAACCACTCTTGTATATACCTCTTATCCTGTTGGGGTACATGGTATTATATATATATGCAAATTATAGTCCTGCTACTAATAAAATATTTATCCAGCACAATTGTTTTTACAAAGACTGGTTAATAACATCACATGTCTGAAGATAGTAAATAGTGTGATTGTTCTTATAACGTGTATAATAAGTCATTTTGGCTAGACACATTTTATATTCAAAGGTATATATGTATTTTGATTTTATGAATACTACGTGTTTGACACGAAAATAAAATATTTGAACTTGAAAAAAAAACAATACTGTCACAAGGTCACATTATATGCAAACCACAATCAGAGTGTCAGATCCATAACAAGGTAAACTAACAAATAACCAGGTTATGCATAGTTATATATTAGCCTCATTAATGGTTAATAATTGTGTAATATTTAAAGGTTTTACCTGCCATATACCGGCTTTTTCTACAGATGATCGTTTTGTTTTGAACATGGAATTGTTTACGCGACAATGATTGAGTATCGGATACACCTGACCAGGTGATGGATAAGCCGTCCTCAGACACTGGCGTCAACAACGTAAAGGTGTTATCACAGGTAAAAACGAGTCTAATTACAGGTATCGTGGTAATGTCAGTTTCTTTGGTTTAGTTCATGTCGTTGATTAATCCAGGTCTGTTAGATATCGCGGTGTTATCACCGATATTTCTAGCCCGAGTTTCCTGGCCCTAACCCCACACTTTGACATTTTGACATATAGATGTCTGTATAGTTTGTTTATAGACACCAGACATATATATAGTCTGGTGAAAGGGCCAGAGGAAATTCGGGCTACGATGTTACACGAGTTTGTTTATAGATATCGTGGTGTTGTCACTGATGTTACAGAGACATATATATAGTCTGGTGAAAGGGCCAGAGGAAATTCTGGCTACGATGTTACACGAGTTTGTTTACAGATATCGTGGTGTTGTCACTGATGTTACACGAGTTTGTTTATAGATACAGTGGTATTTTCACTGATGTTACACGAGTTAGTTTATAAATATCGTGGTATTGTCACTGATGTTACCCGAGTTTGTTTATAGATATCGTTGTGTTGTTGCCGATGTTATACGAGTTTGTTTATAGATATCGTGGTGTTGTCACTTATGTTACACGAGTTTGTTTATAGATATCGTTGTGTTGTTGCCGTTGTTACAAGTGTTTGTTTATAGATATCGTGGTGTTGTCACTTATGTTACACGAGTTTGTTTATAGATACAGTTGTATTTTCACTGATGTTACACGAGTTAGTTTATAAATATCGTGGAATTGTCACTGATGTTACCCGAGTTTGTTTATAGATATCGTTGTGTTGTTGCCGTTGTTACAAGTGTTTGTTTATAGATATCGTGGTGTTGTCTCTATGTTACACTAGTTTGTTTATAGATATCGTGGTGTTGTCACTGCTGTTACACGAGTTTGTTTATATATACCGTGGTATTTTCACTGATGTTACACGAGTTAGTTTATAAATATCGTGGTATTGTCACTGATGTTACACGAGTTTGTTTATAGATATCGTTGTGTTGTTGCCGATGTTATACGAGTTTGTTTATAGATATCGTGGTGTTGTCGTTATGTTACACTAGTTTTTTTATAGATATCGTGGTGTTGTCACTATGTTACACGGGTTTGTTTACAAATATCGTGGTGTTGTCACTAATGTTACACGAATTTGTTTATAGATATCGTGTTGTTGTCACTGCTGTTACACGAGTTTGTTTATAGATATCCTGGTGGTTACACTAGTTTGTTTATAGATATCTTGGTGTTGTCGTTATGTTACACTAGTTTTTTTATAGATATCGTGCTGTTGTCACTATGTTACACGGGTTTGTTTACAAATATCGTGGTGTTGTCACTAATGTTACACGAGTTTGTTTATAGATATCATGGTGTTGTCACTAATGTTACACGAGTTTGTTTATAGATATCGTGGGGTTGTCACTGCTGTTACACGAGTTTGTTTATAGATATCCTGGTGGTTACACTAGTTTGTTTATAGATATCTTGGTGTTGTCGTTATGTTACACTAGTTTTTTTATAGATATCGTGGTGTTGTCGTTATGTTACACTAGTTTTTTTATAGATATCGTGGTGTTGTCGTTATGTTAAACTAGTTTGTTTATAGATATCCTGGTGTTGTCACTGAGTTGTTACACGAGTTATAGATATCGTGGTGTTGTCACTATGTTTCACTAGTTTGTTTATAGATATCGTGGTGTTGTCGTTATGTTACACTAGTTTTTTTATAGATATCGTGGTGTTGTCACTATGTTACACGAGTTTGTTTATAGATATCGTGATGTTGTCACTATGTTACACTATTTTGTTTATAGATACCGTGGTATTGTCACTATGTTACACTCGTTTGTTTATAAATATCGAGGAGTTGTCACTAATGTTACACGAATTTGTTTATAGATATCGTGGTATTGTCACTATTTTACACTAGTTTGTTTATAAATATCGTGGTGTTGTCACTGATTTTACACGAGTTTGTTTATAGATAACGTGGTGTTGTCACTAATGTTACACTAGCTTGTTTATAGATATCGTGGTGGTGTCACTGATGTTACACGATTTTGTTTATAAATATCGTGGTGTTGTCTCTAATGTTACACGAGTTTGTTTACAGATATCGTGGTGTTGTCGTTATGTTAGCCTAGTTTGTTTATAGATATCGTGGGGTTGTCACTAATGTTACACGATATTTATAAACAAACTCGTGTAACATTAGAGACAACACCACGATATTTATAAACAAACCCGTGTAACATAGAGACAACACCACGATATCTATACCCAAACTCGTGTAACATTAGTGACACCACCACGATATTTATAAACAAACCCGTGTAACATAGTGACAACAGCACGATATCTATAAAAAAACTAGTGTAACATAACGACAACACCACGATATCTGTAAACAAACTCGTGTAACATTAGTGACACCACCACGATATTTATAAACAAACTCGTGAAACATCAGTGACACCACCACGATATGTATAAACAAACTAGTGTAACATTAGTTACAACACCACGATATTTATAAACAAACTCGTGTAACATTAGTTACAACACCACGATATCTATAAAGAAACTCGTGTAACATCAGTGACAACCCCACGATATCTATAAACAAACTAATGTTACACTAGTTTGTCTATAGATATCGTGGTGTTGTCCCTATGTTACACGGGTTTGTTTACAAATATCGTGGTGTTGTCACTGAGTTGTTACACGAGTTTGTTTATAGATAACGTGGTGTTGTCACTAATGTTAGACGAGTTTGTTTATAGATATCGTGATGTTGTCACTATGTTACACTAGTTTGTCTATAGATATCGTGGTGTTGTCGTTATGTTAGCCTAGTTTGTTTATAGATATCGCGGTGTTGTCACTATGTTACACTATTTTGTTTATAGATATCGTGGTGTTTTATAGATATCGTGTTTATAGATATCGTGGTGTTTTATAGATATCGTGTTTATAGATATCGTGGTGTTCTCACTAATGTTACACGAGTTTGGGTATAGATATCGTGGTGTTGTCGTTATGTTAGACTAGTTCGTTTATAGATATCCTGGTGTTGTCACTGAGTTGTTACACTAGTTTGTTTATACATATCGTGGTATTGTCACTATGTTACACTAGTATATAGATATCGTGGTGTTGTCACTAATTTTACACGAGTTTGTTTATAGATAACGTGGTGTTGTCACTAATGTTACACGAGTTTGTTTATAGATATCGTGGTATTGTCACTATGTTACACTAGTTTGTTTATAAATATCGTGGTGTTGTCACTAATGTTACACGAGTTTGTTTATAGATATCGTGGTGTTGTCGTTATGTTAGACTAGTTTGTTTATAGATATCCTGGTGTTGTCACTGAGTTGTTACACTAGTTTGTTTATAAATATCGTGGTGTTGTCTCTAATGTTACACGAGTTTGTTTATAGATATCGTGGTGTTGTCACTATGTTACACTATTTTGTTTATAGATATCGTGGTGTTGTCACTAATGTTACACTAGTTTGTTTATAGATATCGTGGTGTTGTCACTATGTTACACTAGTTTGTTTATAGATATCGTGGTGTTGTCACTATGTTACACTAGTTTGTTTATAGATATCGTGGTGTTGTCACTATGTTACACGCGTTTGTTTATAGATATCCTGGTGTTGTCACTGAGTTGTTACACGAGTTTGTTTATAAACATCGTGGTGTTGTCACTGATGTTACACGAGTTTGTTTATAGCACGAAATTTAATTGCTATCTTAGTCCGTGGTTTAAAGATATCGTGGTGTTTTATAGATATCGTGTTTATAGATATCGTGATGTTTTATAGATATCGTGTGTTGTCACTGATCATATTATTACTATGCAGTAGAATATATCACTTTGGTATTCGGAAAGGGCAAAACACATGATATGGTCATGTCTGATTAGATATGTATTTATATATAGTACCGCGAAACAAACAGCTGTTTCACCTCTTGTCATTATGCAATTGAGTACACATATATAGCACAACATTAAAACAACCCAACCCGGTCAAATATCATTAAACGGAGCTGGTGACGTGCTAAAAATTAAAACACAGACGAAGATTTAACTTCAGGACTGAGAAGATAATGACCGAGAAAACATGAAAATGCCGTTTATAGACCTACTATCCTTAAAGAATGTTATCTCTTCCCGAGTGTTGTCAGTTGGTAAGGTAATTAGCATTAATCATGACGGCAATGGCGACATAAATCTATGATTCGTTTGGCCAATACAAGATTGACAAAGGAATATTTTTGATACATTTTTACTATTGACCTGTAAGAAATTACTGAATAAGTAACTGAACGTAGATTGGTGAGTCATCCTTAAACTGAGTAAGCCTAATTGTTTCATGTCTCTAATGCCCTCGTGCGTTTGAAGATATGTAACTTACCTGTATCCAGTCTAACGAGCCTCTCCGTGTTACATTGTTCTGTTTATCCGACTGATCACCTCATCATCACCACATCATGTCCACCTGTCAGTGTCTACCGGTACTGTGCCGATAACAGACTCGACGGTAGCTCGTGGACTGTTCACCTGCTGGATGTCGACGTTATACTTCTTACCATATAGATAACAATACATTTAGCAACGGTAACGTTTCATGTTATTATGCCCGGGGGGAACAAGGCGAGGAATGTAGGTCCTTTTTTCTTCTTCTGACATATATGAGGACTGGGTCATCAACAGAACACGACCGACTGGCCATTCACTCCTCTGTCACTATATAGGGTCTTCACGGAAGGGTTCGTACTGATGTCTACAATGCTTTCAGCCACATCTCGAGAAACCTCGCATTCTGATAACCCAGGTCATCACGAACATTAAAAACAAATTAAAAATATTAATTTATGCATCACTTCCCATCGTGTTTGATCTTAATATACTTTTTTTTTATTTGTAATAAGTTATCGTCGGCTTAATACCTGTGTGATATTTAAGTGATTGATTGGATCACTGTATCTTTGACATTTTCTTGGTGACATTTCAGTCGGTTGATAAGGTGACCTTTAAAGGTACGGGCCTTTTCTTAAAGATGTTTTTAATAGACTTTTTAATTATATAAATAAATATCAGATTAACGAATATAGTTTCATTACCGATATGTGGACATCACGTGACTGACATCGGTAGGTTAGGAATGTAACGGTACCACACAACGCCGCTGTATCCAAATGTTTTCCCTAACATTTTGTTTTTGCGACTTTTTCTTAATAAGATGAATCTGTGTCCGACATCAACGTGACAGTTACTATTTCTAGTACTAAATGGACACTGCAATATATCTCGGGGAGACTTTTAACTAAGTGTTTATCTAAACCTTTAACACGTGTAATAGTACTCTCTTCACATCTGAAGTCCTTGGCACCCGTATTCATATGACCATGGCTGTCACGAGGCCCTTACTAGTAAATCCCGAAAAATGTCCATGACAATAACCGTCCCATCTTTTAATTACGTAACCTGTTTTCCTATCAAATTTCCATCTTCTAGTGACTTGTCCTTCGCTCCTGTCGAAACACCTAAAATCAGGTTCATGGGCAAAATCACTATCCCACCCATAAATCTGTTGAAAGGTAGGGGGGCGGCGGCTAGGAGTGTCTCTGCTCCCGCTGGGGGTATCTCTGACCCCAAGGACTTTTTTCTTTTTATGCGACAGTTACATGAAACAATTTTTGAAAGTTTAAAATAACAGAAATAAAATAGATGCTATGTGACCACAGAAGTCGTCACAGCTGGGGAAAAAAAGTTTTCTCGTTTTGGCCTTAATTTGACAAGAAAGGTGTCCTTCTGACCAGCACGGATCACATCACATTGGTGGAGAATCTATGTGCTAGTGTGTGAGTCAAAATGATGGTCAAGAGGTTTCAGAGTTCAAACCAAGGGTAAATACATTTACAAACAAAATAAAAACAAGACTGGTAAACAACTACCGGATTTATTAGGTCGTAACAGGTTAAGTGTATTTCACCAGGAAATGTTGCTATCACAGTCTACATATATTAGAACACGTATCCACCTCTTCCCACCTTTACTGAGAAATGCTTATTGTCAGTAATAGCACTTCGACAGTGTCCACTTTTCATATTTAAAAGAGTAGCAAGTTCTGTTTGTCTTTACCCTTTAAAGTTACTAGACTGTAGCATTCATATTTATGTTAATTCATGTATATAATTAAAGACAAAAATAACAATATGCTAAAATTGTAAAAAAGAAAATAATATATGTAATCTTCTCTAATACATATATGATAAACATAATGCAGGAACGAATTTTAAAGTTATCAGAATAAAAACATCATAGCAAAAAAGGCATTGCATTATTCAAAGAATCGGCTTTTGACGAAAAAATAAAAGATAGTAGGGAGGACAGACAAACTCCGCAGAAAACATCAGTTTGTCACAATAATTATTTTAACATATCGTAAAACATGAATAAACTGAAATATGTTACTAATAACAATGATAGTATGTGTTTGTTATTAAGAATTCGCTGTTTTAATGTAAAATAAATCGTATTTAAAACAAAATTTGTAACACATACAGTAACATTTCGTTCTCCAGAGAAATTTTGGCGTTATAAAGGGGTTTGGCAAAAAACATGAGAAAAATGTATAAAATAATTCCTAAGAAAGCAAGGAAAAAAAGGCATTGAGATATGCTAGCGGTAAGCGAGGTGGCAACTATAACGAGTGGCATTGCATTGAGGTTTTATTGTATACCCAATATTATATAATAATAATTGTCATTTCCTATTAATAATCAGGATTTGAGCAAAATTTATGACAAAACGCCAATGATAATAGTATTTAGGCTTTATTATATTATCATAATTTAAACCGACTTCTCAGTAGTTAAAAGGGTTTTGTTTTTGTAAAGCAAGGGTGACTTCACTATAATAAACGACATTGCCGTATAGTGTCGTCACTCTGATACCCCACCCACCCTACCCACTAGTCCAGAGGTACTATTGAGCTATAAAACTATAAAATCAAATACGTAAAATTCTCTAAATAACGATTTGGCAGTTAATGCATATTAAGTTTCATTACTTCTTCTTCTTCTTCTTTCCTGATTTTTTCCCTGACTTCTTTCCTTTGGCACTCTTTGATCCCTTTGCCGACTTTGTAGGTCTTCCACTTTTCGCTGGAGAGCGCCCTCGTCCTGCAGGAGCTGACTTTCCGCGCTTATTGTCGCCGTCTTCCGGTTTATTTTGGTGAGGAACATATTCCACTCGTGCGCCTTGACACCGTATCTGTTTGTGATACCGGAAATGTATAAGGATTAGACTTATTTAAGTTTAATAACTGGATCCTTTTTCACTTTTGAATTCACAAAAACGTGTATATTGTCTTGTTTTTTGTATCAAAACGAAAATAAAATTACATTTATACCAAGAAATTTATCATTTGTTGAAATTCCAAAAATTTAAGGAAATACCACAACTGACGGAATTGTCCGATGGTATATTGTTTGGATCAATATGGAATAAGATTAAAATATTCGCATTCTCAATTGACAAGCAAGCAATTGTTTTTCTTGACAAACAATAAGACATGGAATACTATAACATGATTGGAGTTTCATGACTTACAATCAAAGATATTTTTTCAAATTTTCGAAACAAAAATACTTATTGATTTTGAATGATCTATATTCAAATTACTGCACAAACTGACGTGTCAGGCAACAAGGCGATTGCCATTTTTTCAGACTAAATCCCGACCAAGAAAAACTACTAGTATTTGCTTACAAGTGCTTCTATAAAATGCCCCTAACAAAAATTGAAATTTGTTCCCTGTTGGACGAAACGAAACTCCCTCCCACGTTAGTACTTCAGCCCTGATCAAATCTGAAAAAATCAGGATAGGGAAAACTTACCTGATTACATATCCTGCACTTTGCCGGCTCTTTCATCTGACCGACGAAGTCGCCATGGAGACACTCTTTACAGTACCTCGTGCCGCACCACTTACACATGTACGTCTGTAATGACAATTCACGTATCTACATGTTTACCACATATAGCTGTACGTCCGTAACGATAATCCAAAACATTTACCACTTACTCATGTAAGTCTGTATTGACAATTCACGTATCTACATGTGTACCACGTATAGCTGTACGTCCGTAACGATAATCTAAAACATTAACCACTTACTCATGTACGTCTGTATTGACAATTCACGTATCTACATGTTTACCACTTACACGTGTACGTCTGTACCAATCCCATACTGTTACCACTTACGCATGCACATCCGCAACAACAGTCATATACATTTACCACTTACTCAATTGTCATGTACGTCCATATTGACAATTCACGAACCTACATGTTTACCACGTATAGCTGTACGTCCGTAACGATAATCCAAAACATTTACCACTTACTCATTTAAGTCTGTATTGACAATTCACGTATCTACATGTTTACCACGTATAGCTGTACGTCCGTAACGATAAACCAAAACATTTACCACTCACAAGTTTACGTCTGGATTGACAATTCACGAACCTACAGGTTAACCACTTACACGTGTACGTCTGTACCAATCCCATAATGTTACCACTTACTCATGTACATCCGCAACAACAGTCATATACATTTATCACTCACACACGTACGTCTGTAACAACAATCCCATACATTTATCACTTACACACGTACGTCTGAAGCAACAATCCCATACATTTATCACCCACACACGTACGTTTGTGACAACAATCCCATACATTTATCCCTCACTCACGTACGTTTGTAACACCAATCCCATACATTTATCACCCACACACGTACGTCTGTAGCAACAGTCACATACATTCACCACATGTACGTCTGTAACAACACTCCTATACATTTACCCCCCTCACACGCTCGTCTGTAACATCAATCCCATACATTTATCCCTTACACACGTACGTCTGTAACTGCAATCCCAAACATTTCTCACACACACACGTACGTTTGTGACAACAATCCCATACATTTGTCACTCACACACGTACGTATGTAACAACCGTCACATACATTTACCATTTACACACGTACGTCTGTAGCAACAGTCACATACATTCACCACTTACACACGTACATCTGTAACAACCTACATGTTTACCACGTATAGCTGTTCGTCCATAACGATAATCCAAAACATTTACCCCTTACTCATTTAAGTCTGTATTGACAATTCACGTATCTACATGTTTACCACGTATAGCTGTACGTCCGTAACGATAAACCAAAACATTTCCCACTCACAAGTTTACGTCTGGATTGAAAATTCACGAACCTACAGGTTAACCACTTACCCGTGTACGTCTGTACCAATCCCATACTGTTACCCCTTACGCATGCACATCCGCAACAACAGTTATATACATTTATCACTCCCACACGTACGTCTGTAACTGCAATCCCAAACATTTCTCACACACACACGTACGTTTGTAGCAACAATCCCATACATTTACCACTCACTCACGTTCGTCTGTAACATCAATCCCAAACACAAATCACTTACACACGTACGTATGTAACAACAGTCACATACATTCCCAACCCACACACGTACGTCTGTAACTGCAATCCCAAACATTTCTCACACACACACGTACGTTTGTAGCAACAATCCCATACATTTACCGCTCACAGACGTTCGTCTGTAACAAAAGTCACATTCATTCACCACTCACACACGTACGTCGGTAACAACAATCCCATACGTTTACCACTCACACACGGGCGTCTGTAACAACAATCCAATACATTTATCACTCACAGACGTACGTCTGTAACAACACTCCTATACATTTACCCCCCTCACACGCTCGTCTGTAACATCAATCCCATACATTTATCACTTACACACGTACGTCCGTAACAACAATCCCATACAATTACCACTCACACACGTACGTATGTAACAACAGTCACATACATTTACCACTCACTCACGTTCGCCTGTAACAACAATCCCATATCACTCACACACGTACGTCTGCAACAACAATCCCATACATTTACTACTCACACACGTTCGTCTGTAACAACAATCCCATACATTTATCACTCACACACGTTCGTCTGTAACAAAAGTCACATACATTCACCACTCACACACGTACGTTTGTAACAACAATCCCATACATTTACCACTCACACACGTACGTCTGTAACAACAATCCCATACATTTATCACTCACACACGTACGTCTGTAACAACAGTCACATACATTTACCACTTACACACGTACGTCTGTAACAACAATCCCATACATTTACCACTCACACACGTACGTTTGTAACAACAATCCCATACATTTACCACTCACACACGTTCGTCTGTAACAACAATCCCATACATTTATCACTCACACACGTACGTCTGTAACAACAGTCACATACATTTACCACTTACACACGTACGTCTGTAACAACAGTCACATACATTTACCACTCACACACGTACGTCTGTAACAACAATCCCATACATTTACCACTTTTACCTGTACCTCTGTTACGATAATCCGATATATTTACTACTTACACATGTACGTCTGAAACGACAATTCACGTTCCCACATGCTTACCACTTATACCGGTACGTCCGTAACATTTACTACTTATAAATACATTTATTAAGATTATCTAAATACATTTTCCACTTCATGATACATATCAGTGATATTGCATGAGGTAATACACCAAAATAAAATAATATCTGTATATGATACGATAGTCGTGATCAAATTATTGTCTTTAATAGGTCTACATACATGTACATTTTATAACACTATAAATATACAGACAACCAGAAGAAATTGTTTTCATAGCAATCTTATAGATTATAGATGTGTGTCATAACAATGTACGTAAGTGGTTACAACTAGTGACATGTAGACTTACGGTGCTGGTTGTGGTACAGCCCCATCGACACATCCTGTCTCGTGATGTCACACCTGTCAATCACCGGTAATTAACCTGATTATTAGACACACCTGTACAACGACATGGCAGAATTGCTGGCCACAAGACTCTTACGCCCCAAAGCACTATATAAACAACACCCAGCTTGACTGTTCCAAACACTCTCGCTTCCTTCACTACTGGCGCGTCCCGGAAGTCAACAGCGTCGTCAAGGTGGACACAGGTGAAATCTTCACAGGTGTGATTACTCTTATCGATAACAATAAATACGAGATATTCTTAGAAACAGTGTACCATGTTGATCATTTTTAAATTAGTTAGCTGTCTTTGATGAACGACATGGCGTGGTCCTCATTCTAAGTACTCCAGTAAGGGATATCAGGAAATTAAACAAAGCAAAGGAAAATTGATTTACATAGCCGAGACTCAGAGTACACTGCACAGGTAACTGATAATCAATAATACGTTAATTTGTTAGACCGGAGACGTTTATACTACTGCCTTTATACATCTCTGTTTAGACTAACGGATTTATCTAGGGATTACTATCAGAAGTTTTGGTTTTTAAGATAAACTTTTACGCAGCTGCTTTTGGTAAAATTCTGCATTATCATAGGGTTAATCATGATTTAAACCTCCATGCGTCTAACACTGCCCTACACATCAGGATAGGTTAGAAGCTATACACTGCAAATGATTCTTAAGTCCCTGTTGTGAAAACCTTATTGACCATCATCAATGTCTTCCTTGACAAGAACGGATTTTATAGGTCTCTTTTATTGGTAGAATTGAAGTGACGAAAGATATTTTTTTTTATAAATAGTCTTTTAAGAGTGAAAAAAAACACCACTTAAAGCACTGAATCCTAGCAAACATAAATTCTCAAGATTCAAAATTGTTTCAGAAAGAACAAATTTGTCTTGCAACGCCGTTCGGCTTAGTTCAACTTCGCGAGCCAAGGGTGTTCAATACGATACTCTCCTATTAATAGGAGAGTATCGTATTGAACACCCGTGGCTCGCGAAGTTGGGCTTAGTTATGCCAAAATGTTATGTCAAAAACGTAGATGGTATGTTAATCTTTTGGATATGCAATACACAAAAATATGACATTGTGTTATGTGTTGTTTGTTGATGAGTATAAACTAAATCAGTGAAATAACATTTTGTGGAATGAACAATACTCGACTTCCCTATCGTGAAAGTTCCCTTCCTTGATAGGGACATCCCTGCTTCCCCTACCTACGGTGTTAACATGTCGCAGCTGATTCAGTACTCAAGAGCTTGCTCCGAATATCACGAATTCCGTGATAGATGTCGACTGCTGACGAACAAACTTATATGACGAATACTATGGACAAGTTTTAGTAGTCGCAATCAGAATGTCGCAGATGCCGGTTGTCATTGATGAAGCAGAACGCTTACCGTTCCGGAACACATAGGCCCGTATTCATGAAACCGTTCTCATACACAAACTCAGGTTCTGTGCTCCAATGAAATTTCATGGTTCCGTGATCAATTCATAAAAAAAATCACATTTTGGAAGAATGTTGAAGAGACTAACAGCCGAGTCTGTTTCTAATGTTTACACTTGAATATCTACCGTGAGCATGATTTAAGCAAATTACAAGAAATTCGGCTTGACCACAAATCTTTGTTATCTAGAGCGTGAGTACGGTTCCGTGAATTCCGGTCTTATTCTCCTTGAACTTTCCCTTGTTCATTACCCTAGTTTTATTGATTTTGAATTATGATTTGGCTGACACTTTGGTATTTATTTGTTTTGTATTTTTAAAACTACAGAAGATTTCAACCAAATACTACTGATAGCCTGCTTAGCTCGTAGGGACCATAAGTCACACCACATAAGGGACTGACTCTCCTTGTGTAAGGTTGGGGTTGAAAGTGGGTTGAATTGGTATGTTTGCTTTAAACGACATATCTTCCTAAACTACTTGTTATGGTAGCATCCGTTCAGTCAATTAACCGAGTATCAAATGTTATACATATTAAAGTGGCTAGCAATAATGGGGCTCTCCTTCCAAATTACAAGTTATATTTCAAACTAATTTCCAAAATAGCCTACCCTGCAGATCGGCGATCAAAGATGCCCACCGGATGCCTTAATAGAACACTGATATGTGAATTTAACCCCTGTAGAATTTGGGATTTGCTTGTGTGCCTTCTACTTAGGCATCAAAGCAACAAAATGAAAACATTACTTTGAACATAGGCAACAACACAATAAAATGTGAATCAGAAGTAAAACTACTAGGAGTCACCATAGACTTCCAGTTAAACTTCCATACACACGTTTCCAATATCTGCAAAAAAGCATCTAGACAGCTCAACTCACTCAAACGCATATGAAAACACCTTAACAGATTAGGCAAACTTACAATATGCCATTCATTTATTTTCTCAAATCTTAATTTCTGTCCACTTACATGGCACTTTTGCGGTGAGACAAACACTACTTTTTGAACCCTTTTTTGCCTCACTTTAGGCTTTGGTGATTTTAACATTTGCCCAAGTGGGGACGGCAATGAGCTGGTCATTCTGTTTTCAGTAGGCTTTCATCATAATGTACGGGGTGTACTGTGTTTGGTTCATGCGGCATTGTTCAGTGAGATAACACTCTTAAAAGTCGTCGTCAACATGTTGATCCATTCCATATTGAAGATGAACGTAAGATCCAACAGGTGAATGCACATTTAAAATTTATATTTCGAAATAACTGCACGACAACTCCAAAATCGCCTGGTTGATTTAGGGGTAGTACGTTGTTTTGAGTGGCTAATTATAACATGAAATTTGGTTTGAACTCGAAACCGATAGGTCGAAAGTTTAAACCAAATTTCATGTTCTAATCGCCAGTATCGACACGAAAAACAACGTACTACCCCATTCTAACACATCTTAACAAATATACTACGCTAATATGTTTAGAAACATTGTATTTCCTTGAACAAAAGTACGTAGTAAAGTACTTTGCGACCTGAACTGGCGACGTGTCATTCTGCAGCGGACTGACCAATCGGGAAGGAGCCTTCAAAACACGGTCATTTGGCACCGCCCATACTGGCGAGCGCTCGATCTGTATGTTTGTTTGTGAACGTCCTGTTACCAAAGTTTATACGACACATTTGGATTAATAATGACCAAGTTCTTATATTTCCATGCCAGTATACATACCAATCTGTGCTTATCGACAAATCGGTGATTATTTGTAAAGATTTGTGAAGAGTTTTGTGTAAATTCATACGACACATGTGAAATGTTTCATTTTATTTCGGATCTGCTTAATCAGTGGACTTTGGAAATATGGAATCCATCTCTATTGAACTAGATTTAAATAACGTTAAAAGGCTTATTCAAGGTGTATATCGACCCCCTAACATGACAGAAAGTAAATTTACGGATGATTTTTGCAAAACTTTCGACAGGTGCACTACAAAATATGATAATCTGATGGTTATCGGGGACATAAATTATGACCAAGTTATACCTAAAGGTTAGCCTTTGCAGAATATGTGTGATATTTTTGATTTGTCCAGCTTAGTTAAAAAACAACTTGCCACCCGAAAAACACTGAACCAACGTTAATTGATGTGATTTTAACCAACAAACCATTATTAACTGGGAAAATATGTAATTTTAATACTGGTATCAGCCATGTACATAATTTGATATCATTTGAATTCAAAAGCGAAATATCTGTAAGGAAACAACCATTGTTAACATATAGAAGTTTTAAAGATTTTAACATTGAACATTTTAACACAGACCTACAGAATGCAGCATTAGAAGAAACTGTAAAATACACAAATGACAACTCAGCATACAACCATTTCAGTAATAGTTACACACTAACCGAAATAATAAACAAACATGCCCCGACAAAACAAAGAAAAGCCAGGTTAAACCAAATACCCTTCATGAACAAAAAACTCAGACAAGAAATCTATCACAAAACGATGCTTCAAAACAAGTTCCTCTTAAACCGCACCAAACACAACTGAGGAAAATATAGAACACAGAGAAACAAAGTCACCAAACTCAGAAAACAATCAATAAAACAATACTTCATAGACAGATGCAAAGAGAGCCAAAACAACCAAAACTTTTGGAAAACAATAAAACCATTTAAACAAACAAAGGCTGCCAGATTAGGGTAGGATAGTCAACAAACAAAACGAAGTAGCCGACATCTTTAATATTTTTTTCGTAAATGTGGCAAAGAATATTGGATCAAACAGCCGACCCATAAATGATGAACACCCTAGCCTACAGGCAATCACCAAAAACAGACAACAAGATAAACACTTCACATTTCAACCTGTAGACGAAGGTTTCATAAACAAACCGTTCAACAAAATAAACCCTAGAAAAGCAACAGGACACGACAATATTTCACCCAAACTACTACGACTAGAACAACCCAGCATTATCAAACCAGTTACCACACTTGTAAATCTCTCTCTCACTACATCAACATCTCCAGACACACTAAAAACAGCACAAGTCAGACCAATACACAAAAAGAACAGCACCTTTGAGAAAGGAAATTATAGACCGGTAAGTATACTCCCGGCACTCTTCAAAGTCTTTGAGAGATCCATACACTCCCAACTCAGTGAGTGACTTCTTTGATGGTGTTTTTCATCCCTACCTCTCTGCATTCAGAGCTGGATATGGCTGTCAGACAGCAGTATTGCGAGTCATAGAGGATTGGAAAATGGCACTTGACCAGAACAAGTACTATGTAGGCTGCATACTTATGGATCTCTCAAAGGCTTTTGACTGTCTGCCTCACAACCTCCATCTGCTAAAACTACAAAATTATGGACTTTCTATGTCGGCTTCAGAACTATTGTCAAATTACCTCAAAGACAGAAAACAAAATGACAAATAAGGAAATTATGAAAGTACATTTCAGGAACTATACAAAGGAGTCCCTCAGGGATCAATTTTAGGCCCAATTCTGTTCAATATTTTCATAAACGACATTTTCCACATCATACAACACTGTAAACTTTCTAACTACGCTGATGACAATACAATTAGTAAAGCACACACTTCACTAGACACAGTCAAAACCTCACTACAAACAGACTGCAATTCACTTATTCACTGGTTCGCAAACAATCATATGCAAGTAAACCCAAACAAATTTCAAGCCATGGCCGTAGCAAACAAAGCACAAAATGAAAACATTACTTTGAACATAGGCAACAACACAATAAAATGTGAATCAGAAGTAAAACTACTAGGAGTCACCATAGACTTCCAGTTAAACTTCCATACACACGTTTCCAATATCTGCAAAAAAGCATCTAGACAGCTCAACTCACTCAAACGCATAGGAAAACACCTTAACAGATTAGGCAAACTTACAATATACCATTCATTTATTTTCTCAAATCTTAATTTCTGTCCACTTACATGGCACTTTTGCGGTGAGACAAACACACACAAAAAAATGGAAAAAATCCAAGACAAGAAAGGGCTCAAAAATTTATTTACGATGAACACGAAAATACATATGAAATTTACTAGCCAATTCAAAATTACCATCACTAAAAATCAGACGCTCAGAAATTTTGCAATAGAAGTATTTAAAATCACAAATTAACAGACACCAACATACCTACACGACCTTATCAATATCACAGAAAAGTCATACACCATACCACATGTTAGGACTACAAAGTATGGTAAACACACATTTCGATCTGAAGCACCTAAAATATGGAATGCCCTACCAGACCACTTCAGAACAACAATTACACTAACACAATTTAAGACACTAATAAACAGCTGGTATGGGCCAAAATGCAAATGCAACACATGCAGACAAAACACATAGGCTCACAATACAGTTTTATACATGCTTTTAGCTAAAGCTTACCTCTACTTATGTCACCTCTAGTAGTGCTCATCTTTTAATATGTTTTGCCAAATATTTATTGTGTAACTGTGCATGTCATTTTATGTGTCGGTTCTAATAGCTCATTAGAGGCTGCTAATGTTGTATTGTTTTTTTACCCATACCGACGTTAAATAAAACTTTTTGTTTTGTTTTGTTTTTTGTTATCTATAACTACCTAGATGCCTTCACACGGATGGAACGAACGTTTCGGGAATAAATGGAGGTAAGAACAAGGAATGTTTACTTTTTACCGTGCTACTACCGAAAAGAAATTACTGCATGTTAGTTATCAAACAGAGTCTATGTCACTTTGTATTTTGAAGGTTGCACTTCTAACATTTTGTAATAGAAGCAGTAGGCCTATGTCCCTGAAGATCTACAAGTTTCGTCAGTTCTCCATGGGCTCATGTCAAAAAGGTAGAAACATATATGAACTATACGGTTCCAACTTAACTGTTAACGGCATAGACTGACCTGCCCCACCGTCTCTAGAATATTGAATTATTTAGAAGAAAAAATACAAAGATTGGCATGCTCGCCAGTTTTATATCAATAAAGGGAGAGAAATGCAGCAGCCTAGCAGACCTGGAGTCGAACACGGGACTCTCAGAACTCTGGACGGACGCGGTAACCTGATCGCCGATGACCCCATTCAGTTCCGCAACACTTCCATAAGTAAATAAAACGGCATATAAACAGATTACAATATTTTAACGGTAAATATATAGGCCTAGACCGTTTCTTACAAGTTCGGTTTCAATCAGTACTTCTACCAAATATATTAAATTAGTGTGTGCAACCTTCTGACATTTGGGATACCTCGTATGTTTTCTATGCTAAGATTATGTATGATTCTCGAGAATTCCGATATTCTATTTGAGTTATCTAACTTAGATCAGCCATGCCAGTTTCGTAAGCCGACACAGGACACTCCAAAATCGAGATGTTCTCCGTCAATTCTACAGTACCTCAGGTAAAAAAATTGTATATGTTGTTTGATTGCTGGTAAACCATTTTATTAACTGATTATTAAGTACCACACGTGGTAAATTTAGCTGACATTTGTAGCAGTGGTGGATTTTGTAGATTAAAACATCAACAAACACTGGGAGAGTTCTTCACGATTTATTGTGCGTAGTTCCGATTCCTTTGACATAAATGATTTAACCCTGCAAATATATAATAATTACATTTCAGATATATGTATAGGATCTACAACTCATTCATAACGCACTATTATACATGCAGTACATTTTGAATTTACAAGAAGTTATCTTAAGATGTTACATGTAAGATGATAGTTCTATAAATCATAAAAGTTTTATTACATCTACTGTAGATTTACATTATATTTACTGATATTTATACACATATAATATTGAACATATGATTTAAATCTTATATTATCTTAACTTAGTATTTATTGATACGTAGGTTACTCAATAAATAGACAAAGAGTACAATAAAATACATTCATCAATACATTACTACAAGTTTGAAATAGAAAACTGTACCTATTTGTGGAAAAGGGCCATTTGAAGTCGTACGGAATTAATATCAGAACAGATGTATATACCGTAATATTATAAATATAGATATCACAAATATCGTCTCTGCCACACATTTAAGTCGCAAGATATCGTCTTATGAAATGAACAGATGATGAGACATATGTAGATGTTAACGTTATGATATTTTGTCATCGGTAAGACGGTTGTACCTCAGTCATTTGATCTAGTACAAATTATATGGAAATAGTCTTACTTACCTTACTTTCCTATGCAAGGTATGAAATATTCTTTAGTAGTCGTAGTATGGAAGACGATGCATTTTATAACTTACATAATAATATATGGTAGGGAATCTCTCCCTCTACCAAGGGACATATAAAGCCAGAGATTGGAAACTCTTGCAGATTTTGCAAACACACTCATGAACCTATTGTATTTAGATCCCTGGCCTTTATGTGCGGTCGCACATAAAGGCAGTATCGGCTTTCGTTATAGTCTTTTTTATAATTGAAAAAAGTATAAGAGGCAATTATTTACTTCAGATCACTATATTTAACTAAATATGACTAAAATGATGATAGAAGTCCATCTAAATACTGAAATGGATGTAAATAAAGCAAAACATGGGTAAAAATAAAAAACCGCTCATTGTGACAAGTACTAATGATGAGGGTGAATAATTAGTATGTTGAATTGTTACCTGTCACAGTTCAGGTATGAATATGACAGGGTGTGTCAATATGTCATGAACCTTTCCCTAGAATGTTAACTAGCCAGAGGTGTAACATTACAAGTATCGGATCCTCCTTAAAAGCGTCTTTAATCCGACAACAAGCTTCTTAATATTGAATAAAGTAAGCGACATCAGAAGATATGTTGTTATGACTATAATACACAACTATACCAAATTTCAATTTTATATTTGAAAAAATTGACCAAGTTATAATGAATTGAATTTTTACGATCACAGCGTGACGCACTTGTGTGTATTAACATGAAAAGGTTAAAAACACCTACAAAAGTAAGCGACTTATAATGAATTTATTATTATGATCGGCAGCGTGGCATACGTGTGTAAATATAACAAGTGTCTTTAGACAATATCTCTAAAATTAACCTATAATGTAAGCGACATCACAGGGCTCAGGAACATTTTTAGCTCACCTGCCCGACGCTTATGCCATGGCGCAGCGTCCGGCGACTTTTCCTTAAAATCGCAACTAGTCATAAACGACCGAGCAGATTTTGACCAAATTTGGTCTGAAGCATCCTTGGGTAAAGGGAAACCAATTTTGTATAAACCATGGGTCTGGCACCCCATGCCAGGGGGCTGAGAGGTGGGGCCAAAAGGGGGCAATATGGCTATATTGCTACAAACGACTTCTTCTGTAGAAGTATGTACTGGATATCAACCATATTTGACTGGAAGTATCCCTCGGTAGTGGAGATTACAAATTGTATAAATGGTTGGGCTGACCCCCCCAGGGGGCTGAGAGGTGGGGCCAAAAGTGGGCAATATGGCTATATTGCTACAAACAACTTCTTCTGTAGAACTATGCACTGGATATCAACCATATTTGACTGGAAGTATCCCTCGGTAGTGGAGATTACAAATTGTATAAATGGTTGGGCTGACCCCCCAAGGGGGCTGAGAGGCGGGGGCAAAAGTGGGCAATATGGCTATATTGCTACAAACACCTTCTTCTGTAGAACTATGCACTGGACATCAACCATATTTGACTGGAAGCATCCCTAGGTGGTGGGGCTTTAAAAAATTGTACAAATGGTTGGGCTGACCCCCCAGGGGGCTGAGAGGCAGGGCCAAAAGTGGGCAATTTGGCTATATTGTTATAAACGACTTCAGTAGAATTATGCCATGGATATCGATCATATTTGGTCAGAAGCATTCATGGGAGGCAGGGATTCAAAATTGTTCAAATGGTGGGGCCACCCCCTCCCCCCCCCTACACTTTCACTTCTTCTCAATCTTTCGTCTGTCTTATTT